GTTCAAGTTCTGTGGAAAGAAATTTAAACACCATAGTTGCCTTACTTGAACTACAGCCCCTGCTTCCTACTATCATATAATGAAATCAAATAAACTTTTTTAGCAGCCGGTGAAGTTTGGCTGACCATTTCACCTGGGTAAAAATCCTTCCTTTCCATATCATTCATGAAGTTATTTTCCATAAGGTTGAAAAAAGGTTTTTTTGTATTTTGGTTTGGGTTTTCGGGGTGTGGGGTTTGTTTTTTTGTTTGTGTTTTTGTTCTGGGTTTTTTGTTTTTTTTTTTTTACACTTTACACAAAAATTTGCAGCCCATTTGTGACTACTTGGCATTATTAACATTCTCACTGGAAGTATAAGAAGATTTCATTAGAAGCGTTTGCACTGCAAACAGTTAATGTGAGATGGAAGAGGGAACATGCTAATAAGGAACACTGAGAAGCATGGGATTACTTGGAAAAACCATTAAATACCTGTATGAGGTTAGACTGTGGTATTTTCTATGGCTCTCAGTAAATATTTCCCCAAACAAAAAAGCCTCTAAGCAAAGGTCACAGGGGTCTGGAGGCTTATTATCTGCAAAGGCACTCCCAGAATATATTAAAACACACAGTAGCTGAGTGCCAGCAGCAAGAACAGCCCCCTGCTTCATCGCAGTCTCACCAGCTCTGCTCCACAGGTATGTTTCAACAGTTCTGTTCTGTCCCATCCATACTGAAAGAGAGCTACACTTACAGAAGAGGAAAAAAAAAACCAACAAAAAATAAACCAAAAACCCCAAAGAGCTTTGCTGAGAGTGGCACTGTAACTTGGACTTGGCTGGCCTCTAATTCTTTGCCTGCTGCCAAGCTGCCACCATGCTCGGTAAACTTCCATCCTCACCACTGCCCAGGGAACAAACAGAAATTGTAACCACAGTTCTGCTTGTAAATCAGCACTGTCCAGCATTTTTTTATGGTTAATTCCTGGCTCCATACCCAGGTAACAAATCATCACCTAACAATATGTATCTTTGCCCTCTCGTCAAAAAATATATTAGGTTAACTCCATAACCACTTAAGGGGGAACATCAGTGGCTTATATCATCCTGATCAGATGAGGTGGCCACACAGGGAGGTTTAAAAATAAAAGTTTACATCTATTGTATGTCATGCTAAAACAAACATATTTCTCCTGCTGGCAGGAACTGGAGGACACCCAAAGGTCTGGATTTTTTTCCTCCACCAAATATGTAATCCTCATTTTATTTCCTACTGGCAAAGTATGCGCAACAGAGAACCTCCTGCCTGTTTCATATTTAGTACATGTAGAAAATATCCCAAGTGATATTGGCCCAGTAATATTGGTTTTAAATTTGACTTTCCACTTCTGGATTGAGTCGTGAGTAACCCAAACTAAGCAGGCTTTTGGATCACTGTGGGAATGACACAATCTCACGAGCAGTTACTGACTACCAAAAGAGAAGGCAAAACTGACGGTTACGCACTTGCCAGAAAGCTCGATTCGCAATGCGCAGTCAACAGGATAAAGAGGGGTTACTATTTTAAACTGATGCAACAGCAGTGTAGGCAGTAGAATTTGATGAAATTATATATTGACAGGAGCTCTTGACTGCTTTTGTCATGCATCTTACGGCTCAAGTTCCATGTGTGGAACTATATATAACTACTTTGAGTGACTGCTCGTTTCATATTCCAGCACCACACAAATGGAGCAGTAGCAACAAATGGGAATGTAGCACTTGTGTGGGTTGTTTTCTCTGCAGTTAGCACTACACAGCTGAAACAGCGTTCAACACAACATAGACCCATGCATTCAGCTTAGCCTGGCCCCTCTTCCTTCATTCTGCAAACTGAGCCTTTTTGAAGTGCTCTTCCTACATTTTAGTTTAAGTAGGCAGCTTTCTTGAGAGCTCTTGTCCATTATAAAACCTTGCAGCCTGCAAGATGACAAAAGCATTTTTATGCAGTGGCCACAAAGAGCATGCGCTCCATAGCCACAGCACATGCAAAGGAATACTCAGACTAAAGAGAAGAAAGGAGCCACAGCTGTGCAATGGGTCAAAGTCGGTTTACTCCAAAGCACTGAACACTTATTTCCAATTGGGCACAGGCATTTTGAACTCTGAGAGGGTGGCACTAGGACATACAGTGGAAGCTGGAGAAAGAAGTTATCTGAGTCCAGAAGCCACAAGCACAAGCCAGCACCCACCCTCCTCCAAAATGGCAATCTTGCTGTCAAAGGCAGTTCTGAGAATGCATGCACACAAGAGCCTTGCAGCTCAGATCAGGCAGAAGAATTTACTGGTGAATGCAGAAAAGCTCTTGAGGAAGAGAAACCTGTAAAAAAGGTGTGAGCTGAATTTATCATCAAGGTCAAAGCTTAAGCCTGATGGGGGTTTAACTTCATCTACACAGGGTATGGCTGCAGCTATAGAGCAGTTTATGAAGACTGCCTGTTCGGAATGCAATAAAGCAGGACGTAAGATTTGGACCCCCCAAAAAAAAAAGAAAACAATTTTTGTAAAAAAGAAATGCTTTTATCCTCTCCAATTATAAAGCCAGTCTTGACCATCAGTTTCCTGGTTTGACCAAGTTTTAGAATTCCTCTCTCCCCCTGCCCCCTTTTCTGTTAAGTGAGCACCCAGCTGATGGAATAAGTTGCTTTTAAAACAAGCCCTGCTTAGGAGGAAAAAAAAATGTTATCAGTTCATTTTTTAGCATAAAATCAGTATAATACAGGACTCTTGTCAACCTCGGCCAGCCAGAATTCAAACACTGAATAACTTCATTATGCATAATATTATCATTATTCCATAATATTAGGGAAACACATTGCTTGAAGAATCACCTTGAACTCTCTCTCTGTAAGTCAGCCCTATTCATTTTTATGTCTTATTTCCTGTTCCTCATTACCATCTAGAATAGCATTCTCTTGCAATTGATTATGTAAGGGAACGCACAAGGAATTGGCTTGCAAATACTCTGCAGACTAAAATGGAAGGCTGCTCAACATTTCTGAAGGGCCCATTCCTGAAATATCACCACACATACATGCAAGAGTACCTTTTTTATTATTTTTGTGGGTTTTACAATCTTTTCTAATTAACTGTGTTGTTTTGCTACCTTGACAGAATGTCCAGAGTATTATGGAGTACTGTACCACAGCAGGATATTTGGATACATATGTTGTACTCATCAGGGAAGTCAACCTTGGCATAGTTTTTGTTATAACAGATACCTGTACTTCAATGCCAAAAGACAAGCCAAGTTGTTGCATATTACAGTTTCTAACTCGTTACCTACATTTTTCTCAGATTAAGTCAGAAAGATATCAACATTTGTGATTGGTTCCTAGATATGTGGGTCTTTCTTTTAAACCCCCAAAATATAGAATACCCTCCATATTCACTATACACGGTAAGAAATTAAGCAATCAGCATCTTTCAAATTTAACCTCTTGGACCAAAATCTGAGAGTTCAGACTTTTCAGATGTTTCTCCTCACTTTCAATTAATATGGTAGAAAGAGGACTAGCATAACAGATGGTAGGAGAAAATATTCCACAAAGATGGGGCAGATTTCACCTTCTCCAAGATTAAAATGCAAAAGGAATGATCTGAAAAATATGAATTTTTAATACCTCTCCAGTAGAACTTCTAACAGGAGCTGTTACTGTAAAGAAGAAAAATACCTACACTTTGGAATGTTGCGACATGCACTGCTATGGCTAATTCCCGCATCATAAACCATTCTCCCAGACCAACAGTAGCATTTCTCCCAAATAGTAACAATAGTACTACATGATCTGTGCCACACTGTTATTTGGTAAGCAACAGCTGGTTAAGATTGAACATTGTGCACAGACATCAAGAAAGGTGGGGTACTTGTATTTTCCTTCTCATTTGGTGTTCATTCAGTGAGGGACATCAATGTTTCTCTGAAACAAAAATGTAGAACTTTATTAGACGCCACTACACATCTGCAGCAGCTTATTCAACCAATTGCATTATCACCCAGTGGCAACAGCACACACACTTGTTCTCAACACAACACTGAGCCTCCCTCTAGATCAGAGCCAGACTCCCCCACTTACTCCATCAGCCTTCTTTGGAAAGAGCTTTCTAGTATTATTAACATTCTGTAACAAATACAAAAGGAAAGGAAATACAAGATACATGGTTCCTTCTTTGGTAAGGAAATCATCTGGACATTATTTGCACATACCTGAGCCAAAAAACACCCTTGCTTAACGGTCACCTCCATTTTTAAACCATGGAAAAAAGGACATTAAAGATGAGCAAAAATTCTATTTTAAAGTCTTATTTAGACAAGATCCCTGACTTTTATCTAGTTCAGTAATTGTGATTTAATTTAAAACAGTTCAGTCAGTCAGTTTGGGGCTCAGCTATACTACACCACAGTGCTCACCAATGGCAGTTTCAGCCCTCTTCTCAGGGGCAGGACCAAACTGTTCTAGGGTTCAACTGCACTGCAGCTGTATTTGTCCATGTCTCTAGTACAGATTGCCATCTGAGGGAGTGTGGAAGAGTGGCATAAGACAGACATAATCTGCTTGATGAGAAAATTTCAGGCCAGCCCCCAACTAATTCACCAGTGAGTCACAATCAAACATAATTGAGAACTGAATTTAACACACTGTCTCTGTGGGGTGTAGCACTTCATAAGCTTGTTGCAGAATGGCCTCATCCTCACAGCCAGATTTATGGTATGCTAAAAACATACCATAAATAACTTGTGTTATCATGTACAATTCCTGCCCCAGTCTAAACTAGCATTTAACCTCCCTTTTTCCCTCCCCACCCCACTTATTAAATATAAACCCTTAAATCTTTTCAGCAAGGCCAAAGGAGTAAAGGCTGTTGACAATGTATCATCTAAGAAAATAGTTAGTCTTATTAGCAGGGAATGCAAAAGACTTTCTTTTCATTCGACTAGTCTGTGCCCAGTACTGCAGTACAGGAAGGTACAAACTGTATCTGTTCAAGTGTAAAAAATACATACAACTATATTTAACATTTAAATTAAACACAACTGTTTCATACCAACAATCTTATGTACATTCAGTTTTAAACAATACCTCTTTAATATCCTCTTCTTTTGTCAAACAAGTTTTATTTTCCTCCCAAAATACCCAATGCTACTTTAAAATTCTGGAGAGGAGAAAATTTGAGCTATATAGAAAATAGCAAGAGGTCTTACATTTGTAATGTATCATAGCACGTATTTTTCATAAACAATACATCATTCAAAATCTGAACCACTATAAAAGTTCTTATAAGTCCAACAGGACTGCCTTTAAAAACTGACTTTGGTCAACAGCAAATCATTCTTAAACAATTAAGGAAAAATATATATTCTTTTACCACCTCTACAGATGCATTTCCTTGGTATGTTGTAGCAATCCATATATCTTTACGGATGAGAACTGCAGTTGCTCAGCGCTCTTCACTTATACTGTGATTTCAGTAAAATGGATTATATATCAGGTTGGACTGATTTATAGTTAAATTAGTCCAACTTCCTAAGATCACTGGATAAGAGAACTCTCTTCCTAAGACTTCCTAACATCTCTGGATATCAGAGAAAGAATGGCAACACTACTACTTCTTCCTCACAAGGCTGATCTCACGCAGGACTTGCAATAGCACTGCTAAGTTGCATGAAACTGCTGTTTTCCTGCTTATCTTTCCTGGTCAGGAGAATAAAATTACTTTGCTGAGCTCTACATACTCTGACACCCAGCCACTCACACCAGCCCCTAAGAATTCAGACAACTGAAGTGCCACTGGACTTTACAGTAATGCAATGATTTCCTCTGAGTCATTATGCATGTTTCAGATCATGCATGGCCTCTGTATCACTGAAATTTTACTCATTTCCAGGGGAATAAATGCCCTCAGCTTTTGGCCAGGAAGAGGAACTTGATCCGTATTTTTCTTCCCTCCTTGCACTACGAAACCCTCTGATCCATCTAAAATCACCAATGAAAAGGCAAAAATGTAAGATTCTCCAGGAAAAGAACACCACATTAGTCACTATGCATCAGTTAAGCTGAAAAGTAAAGAAGTCTGACCAATGAGCAAAGGCACTTGGTAACAGTCCTGTGAACAACAGTCAATGAGTCAACAGTTTCAGTCTTGTGATCCAACTGACCAGCAGCGAGGGCTCTGTGGAGGAAGATTTTGTGGACGATGTAACAGAAGATTTTTTAGCACCTTCCTCTTGAAAAGGAATTGTTGCACTGTTGTGGAGGTCTGCATTCATAAAACATCTGCTGCCTCGAATATAATCTGTTCCCCTCACTAACTGCTTCTCAGAGACTGGCCTTGAGAGAGGGTGTTGTGTGGAGGGGTTTTCTTCAATGATTGGGGGTATCCTTTCATTACTGAAGTACCTGCAGAGGGCATCTTCACCTGCACAAACAGGAGGAAGAAAACTAATTACTGCTGACTTCAAAACCCTCCATTAACATTTTCTATTTTGATAAAGAGATTTTGGTTGCAGTTCAAGGTACCTAGATTTTGGTTACCCTTCTAAACACACCTCGACATAAGCAGCTATCAACAGACATATGGCTTTTTGCATCTTTCATATTTTAAGCAACACAAAGAACAACAAAATCAAATCACACATAGACAATACCATTTGACTGTTAAATTACGAAACTGCTAGTGCAGACTACCTTCATGTAAATAATTATCATGAGCGAGACCCAATAAGCCTTCTTGTGTCACTGAATATGCTGATAGACCAGAGTTTAATCTATGTTTACCTGTATGTTACTCATGACTAACTTAAAAGCTACAAATATTACTCTGGACAACAGAAATTAATTTTGCAGATAAAGATGTAAGCACTTCCCTAGTTTTGATCAATGATGTGTGATGCTTTCTCTGGTTTTACTCTTCCCTAGACAACTGTCCACAGCAGCTGCTAGAGACGTCCTACTGGGCTAGACAGGTCTTTTTTCTGACCCAATACAGCTTACACACAAGCCCGCAGCACTTAAGTACATTTCAAGTGCTAAGAACAGCCAACACAAAATCAAAAGCAAAACCAACCAAGAAAAACATACCAAACCCATACACACAAAACCCAGCCCTGCCACCTGGTGATCATTCTCTTAGACTTGTTACTTAGCTTGCTTCCAATATCCCTCCAAGTTGATGTTTCTTGTTATCTGCTTCTATATTGCCTAGAATTACACATTAGCTTTCCATAACAGATATCAAGAATAAAGTAAATACTTGTCCTTTCTTATTTCCCACTCTAACAGGACTTGTAGACTTTCAGATGCAAAAGGAAGCCAAGGAGGGAAGTATGGGATTGAAAAAAGCCACCCAACCTAACACCCCAATGTTATGAGCTTCTGTCTCCCATTCTGTGTCATCTGCAAAACATGTTGATTTCTAACAGCAAATGCAGAAAAAAAGCCACTCCTAAACATTTCACTTTTTAAGAACAAGATTGCTTCCACAACAACCTCCACAGTGAGCTAAACAAACAAAGTTTTAACAACAAAGCAGTTTTATGATCAATATTAAATGAAGAAGAAAAGGAAAAGGGTGTGTTTAAGAGCAAAATGGTAAATCTGTGCTATAAAGAGGCAAGTACAAGTTTTCCTTGGTCATTTAAGCATTCTTTAATGTTCACAAGAACATCAAGACAGGACAACAAAAGCTTGAGCCCCAGCACTGAGTAGCCTCACAAATTCCACAACTACCATGTGGCATTCCTGCTAATATCAACAACTCTTATCTTGGATGAGCTCAGCAATATGAAAACACTAATTCTTCATTCCTAATTTAAACACTTCCACCCAGTTCACCCCGAAGAAATTTTGGAGAGGAATGAAAGAGAAAGAGGGACAAGACTGAAAACCTTGCCTTTTCTTCCTGGTGCTCGTGGCCTCGAGAAAGGCTCTGCAGCTCCTATCCAGCTCCCATCAGCAGGCATTGACAGAGGACGAGGTTTTCCTGAAGGCAACATAGAAGGTTATGAGGAATTACATAAGCTTAGGAAACCAAGCTTTAAAATTGTACTTTTCACAATTAAGCAAAGGGAGAGATACAACAACAAAGAGTTAAAATTGCAAGGGAAAAGAAAAAGAAAAACAAAAAAAAAGTCAGGATACTTCCAGTGTTGAAATACAAGAAAGCAACATGATGAGACTGAACAACCGTACTCTTGCTCATTTACTGCAACAGTGAACATAATAACCAAAAGTTACATTCAAAATACATATGGAAATGACCATCTGGAGCAGCAGATCCCAGCTGAATGACATTCATTAAAAAAATAACAGCATCTAAGTGAAATTATTTCAGATGTTTCATTATTTCATTCACAATTTGCACAGACTGCCCTTAACATCCATGAAGCCTAACACACAGTTTTCTAAAACTATTCCAAACTGACCAAAGTGTTTATAACAGCAATGACAAGAGAGGAATGAACTCACCATAGGATTGTGTTTTTTCTCTCATCTTGGCGGGTAGAATATTTGCTTCAATGGGATACACAGGCAACTGATTTGAATCAGCAATAGTAAACCTTCGTCTTCGACTCTCCTGATCCAGAAAAGAATTGGGGGACTCAGCACCCTTGGACCCAGGTAGTGGCTGACTGGGTTTGTTGCCTCCTCCATATACAAAACTCCCTTTTTCATCTCTGAAAGGACATTTCACTTCGGTTAGTAGCTTAAAAGAGTTTCATGCTACAGACACAAATGAGTTTGGAAGATATGTCTAGCACCTAGTCATGCTCCTGACAACTGGTATTGTGCTGCAAACAAGCTGAAAAAAAAAAATAACCCATCAGGTGATAGATAATTTCATTATAAACACATTTACCAAGGAGAAAAGAAAGCTCTCCCCCATGCTAACTCACTTTTAATGACCCAGTAATTTAACACACAAAGAAGCTTCAAGGTACCACCCCTGAAAAAGCTTTGAGAAATAAGATCTTTCTGCCCTGAAAGTACTAAAGCTCCCAATTTGCTGCCTGTTCAGTATACAGTTGCAACAGAAGAGTGCATACATAGACTTACTCATCTCTGTGTAATGGCAACACTTATTGCCTCCCCTGAGGGACTCTGCTTTTCAGTCATTGTAAGAGGCCAATAACTGCCACTGAATATTTATCACCTCCTCTCTTCATCCAAAAGTGAGACCCCCTCTAGAGTTTCAGTAATAAATTCATAGTGTATGTACACTGTGCCTGTATTTCAAGCAATTTCTGCAGGAACTCCTTTCCCAGCGCAATTCCACATTCCAAAGGCCAAGAACAGCCAATTTTAGAACCAGTACTTCCGAGCACTTTTGGAAAAAAACCTGCCCTCCAAATTAGGATTTGCTTCAGATTTTTCCCCCCTTCTCTGCGCATGCTACAGTCTTACTGCTTAAAGCAATCACCAGCCAAGTCAGGCATAAAAATACACAGCTGACTGTCTAAGCACATGCATGCCCTGCTATTCACTACAGCCCCCTTGGCACTCCAGCTCTCCATCAATAACAATGCTAGAGCTCAGTGAAAAAGAAGGAGCTATTTATGGAGATTCAGGGACTGAAAATTGCATAGAAGTGTTACATCACAACCATACGTACTATGAGAGCTCTCCTACAACACCACCATGTGGAGACTGTGCCACAAGGAGGGAAAACCAGCCAATGCTCTATGTATTCGCAGTGTGAACCAGAGAAGTACCATGCAAGGAATGGAAGAGAACAGAAGAGGAAAATGGCAGGGAAAATGGTGAGAAACTGCCACAGAGTGTCAAGAGAAGAGCAACACATGCAAAGGTGAAATTAAATAGCCAAACAGAAGACCGAAGATCTGCCCTTTCTCCTCTTTGCTGCCACAGCTTCCCCACATTTGCTTTTTTTAAAAGCCTAAGAAGCCTCCACCTTTCCACACACCATCCAGGACAAGTTTTACCTTGCATTTCTACTTTTTGTCTTGTCGACAGCTATTCAGGTCTAAAGGCATCTAAAATTACATTTAATTTTGTGACTTCTTTAATTCACCAATACACTTGAAATATAATAATACGAAGAAGACCAAGATATGCTCAACTCAGCTGCTGAAGTTATATGCTTGATTTTATGCCAAGACTTTGGTTGGTTGGTTTTGTTAGTTTAAGAACTGAGCACGCATAAACTTGGAAAACAGGGAGACAGCAGGTCAAGGTGGGTTCAACTTCAGCAAGGAGACCCTACCCTGGAGAACCCCTCAGTGCCAGCACTGCCTCAAAGACTACAGTAATACAACCTCTGACACTGTACCTACCAGGCCTTAAATGACAGGAGGCAAGCTCTCCTTTCATAAGAGTCCTGAAGTAAAGGGTCATAGTTTCTGTGTTGGGCTATCTACATGTAACTTAAAATGTCAGGCACAGCCCAGGAAGCAAGAGAGAGACAAAACGCTTTTGTTCATCACCTTTCCATGTCAGCTGCAGGGTTCTGGCATGATTCAACAAGGACTTGAGAACAAACAAAAGCTACCCATAGCATACACATGCCACACACCCCTCACCCTGCATTTTTGCCTTCTGTGTACACAGGTTTGTGTTTTTATAGCTTACACTGAAGGATAAAAACAAATAAAAGCTGAATGAACTGACCCTCACTTCCCTTCAGTGGGAACATTCCTGGTTTATACAGCTTGCAAGTTTAACAATTTAAAACTTTTCTCTCCTAACTCCCAGAACAGTTACTTAACTTGCTTAAAAAAAAAAAACAAAAAAAAAAACCCAAACAACCAAACACACACCACAGTGGAAAAAGTTACAGACAAAAATGACTTCTTGCTATGTGCAATTGGATTTAAACAAAACAAAAACATAACCCCACAACCAGGGATGACATCCATTCATGATTTGGGAACAACTCTGATCCACATGGCACACGATCTTCTAATAATAAAATCTATTACAATCCTGGTAGTTTACGCATTTAAACACTTAGATGTCTGGGAGATCTGCAGTTTCCTCAAGCTCATTTGCACAGAACTCTAGCAGCAAGCCAGCTCAGAAACTAGTGTAATAAAGGAGTTTTTGGTCAGTGGTACATGTTTATTTGCATACCGAGGAGAATATGGAACAGCTGGTGGAGGTGGTATGTACAGATCCAAAATGGCTGGCTTCTCTTTTTTCAGTGAGGTATCCACGGTGCTTTCTGGTGACTGGGTTGAAGGACTCGTGATCGGCAGAGGGCTGGTCTGAAATGTGAGACAGCTGTCAAACATCTGAGCACTGATTTATCATTCTCAAAGAAAAGTCAATAATCAATAGTACCATTTTATCTCCTAGTCAACTACTGTTCCTATGCTTAAGAAGTGCATTAAAAACTCTTAGCATTTACATTTTCCTCCACCCTCAGTTCTGGCTAGCTTTGCAGTTCCTCCTACAGAAATCCTATCATGGATAATGCATTGCTCAAGAGTATTTTGCTCTTTCCAGTCTTATTTTTCTTGTAAATTCCATAGACAGAAAAAGCAACAAAGACAAAATTCCATCTTGTATTTTTAGATTCATTAAAAGAATGCAATTTGCTAAACACAGATATGATCCACAACACTTACAAAGCCAACTCACACTACTCTTATTCCAAACAGTCCTAATAACTGGGGCACAGGCAGGAACATGGTAAATTTCACCACAATTTTCATCAAGGGATATAACCAGGGTAAGGGAGGCAAAGTAAAAATATATTCAGTATTGCTCATATGCACACGTTTGCCATTTTGCTATTCGTAGCTCACTTCTATGTCCCCAGCATCTTGACAGGCTCTTGTCTGCTTCTAGGAGAGAAAAGTTTTGAAGGACCCTTTCACCTCTGTTAGGCAAGAGAACTACTCACCCCTTTTTTTCAAGGAGCTGCCCAGTATTCCACTCTAGCCACTCACTTAATGGCACCCCTGCACAAGCATCTGCCTTTTACTGATCAGTACATTGGAGTCCAGAACTGTCAACAGACTTCACCAATCACTCATTCCCCTAAGGAAATGCTGCTGGGCACAGCCTATATCCCAGTGCACCTCAGCTCTCCACACAGGTAACACAGTCATTGCTTTGGGTAACCCTTGAAAACTCACAAGGTGGTGCTTTCTTAGCTTTGGCTCTGATTAAATGACAGACAATCACACAAACACAAGACACAGGCATTGGTGAAAGGAAGGATGAAAAAGGAGTCAAGTGAGCATTTTCTACCCAGTCTGAGAGAAATCTGCCTGCATCAACACTTGTGATAGCCACTGGCATTTCACAGGTTGAGAAAATTATCCTCTCAGCGGTAGGGAGACCTTTGTCAGAAGACAAGTAGGAATCAGAACTCTCCCTGGTTTTCTTCAGGTAATCAGTTTAGATTCAATTAGGTCATTTCCTTCTGTAAGCATTAAGCTCTAAGCTTCCTAATACAACAAGCCAGTCCTCGGCATGGTTAAGAGTTATTAATGTCACTTTCTCTGCCTGTTCATTACTCAATCTGAGAATTGCCTAACAAGCAAATCTTATTTAAACAAGTAGTTTAACTTCTTGAAAAACACTTTCCCACCCTTCACCAGACTAAAAAGAGGACGAATATATAGAATAATCTAAGTTATTTCAGCAAAAACATTAACTCTGCTAAACAGATGAAGCATTTATTACTCCATACTGATGAATTCCATATTTATCACCGGCTTCAACAGTTTTGCCTCATAGAAGTTCTGCCAGTGGCTCAGATTGATTAAAATATTCAACACACCTAGTTGCTTTGTGTATCAAGAAGGCATTATCTGGGTTTAAAAAACAAATATAAAGAGAAGGGAGGAGGCAAGAACATTCTCCCTTTTATCTAAGGGCCAGAAGAGGACAGCCATTTCACCTAACCTTCCTTGACCTATAGTTAAACATGTGTACCTGGGAACATTTCTAGTTTTTTTTCAAGCTGCAATCAAGGCATTCCTATCCCAGTATCAGAGCTGAGCCATCAGCCTCTCACCTGCACCAAGGGTGGTTTCCAACGCAGGTTCTTTAATGGAGCAGGAGTGAAATGGAAAGAGCCAGTAGGACGTTTCTTAAGCAGCAGCCTAACTCCAGCAGGATTCTCTCGCAACTTTGCCACCAGATTTTTTAGTTGCCATCCAACCTGGAAAAGAATAAAAGCCATGTTCTGTTTTGTATTGCTTTTCTGAAGGCTAATAACCCCAAATCTCCCAAGTCAAACTATTCTAAATATGAACTTAAAGAGAGAAACATCAAAAAAAGCCACAATGAAAAAATAATTGGAAAGCTCCTTTTTTTTTTCCAAAGGTTGTTCTTTCGTTTGTCTCAAAGGGAGACCTCTGCTTAAGCTGTAAATTAAACACTGAGATATCAAGCAATGCTCTTTATATCTCAGTTCCAGTCATAGAAGGATGCATGGATGTGCTCAGATTGAGTAACACAGGCAATCACAGTGAACTGTCACATTTCTTTCTCACATTGAAAGGCATTCGTTACCTTTGCTAAGTAAAAACATAATCATTTTATATAAGTTCCCAGATACAAATAATTTGACAAAACCTTGAGTTTTTTTAAAGCTGTTTTTATCTGCATTTCAGTAGATTGTAATAGTGTATTTTAAAACAGGCCTTAAATACAACATGATTTATTTTATTATGATGCACACATCATTTAAACATGAAATATGGCACATTTATTTTAGCAAAATATTGCAAAGAATAAAATCTGTCTTGAAAACAGAGTGTTAAAAAGCCTCAAAGATTTCAATAGGAAAACAGCAGCACCACCTCCTAACCCCATCCATTCAGAACCTGTAGGGAGCAAGCTTTCCAGAGCAAGAATAAGGGAAGGTTGGTAAGGCTGTTACTAACCACAGTTTGCCGATTAACCTGGATCACTTCATCACCAGCATGAATCTTCTGAGATCGATCAGCAGGGGACTACAGAGGAAAACAAGAAATGTTGCTTCAGCAGGTTTTTCTCCCCTCCTATAACACCCCGCACCAAGCAAAGTGAAAGGTTGTATCAGTAATGAAGATCACACATTAGATCTGTTGATAACTTAAGAATTGCAAATGAATTCAACTTATGATTTATTTTTTTATATTGAGAAAGCTACAGGGAAAGGGAGAAGGCATAGCCTATATCTGCCACAGGCTAAATTGCACGTAAGTCATGGGACTTTCTCCACTGTCCTTCTGTCTCCAGTTTGTACTGTAGTTTGAGACAGCAGTGGGAGAGGACAGAAGACTTCTGTCCTAACACAGCAGCTACCTTAAATTTTAGCTTTCAAATAAATGTATACTGATTAAAAAAAAAAAATACAGTAAGACTTTGAATGTACAAAGGACCAAAATCCTCCAAGACACAAAATAGATCCATTACACTTTCCCTTTTTGTTCCCCAATGTAAATAAGAGCTACCACGATTAATGTGAAGTTACCTGTCTGCATCAAGGTCAACAGATAAAAATATATGCTTGCACACATAAAATGTGCATAGATACATCTTTTAAAAACACCTATCTAGTGATAATAATACATCTTAAAATATAATTTTCTATGAATAAAAACCAAGCTCTAGGGAATCATTAGTTAGAAACAGCTAAATGTGTCGATACAACACACCAACTCTGATCAGCCTTGATTAACACCCAAAGCGCACAGGCATACTACCTGGGTATATTGTACCCTGGTCAGAGGACAAGTTCTCCTCCCATTTCCCCCACCCCATGAGTAACCACATGGCAGCAGGCCATCTTTTCCTAGTGGTTCCTGCACTAGGCACTTGGGTTATGTACTTCCTTCTCCTTGTCATCATACCTTCAGAGCTCAAGTAACATTTTTATAGAAGGAACTTTGGAATAAACAGTGCAACTAGAGAAGTAAACATGGGGAAATTTGTGGGAGGCTCCAGCTATCAGGAGTAACCCCATTTCTTCATTGTCTTCTTGCGTCCTCTGACAGGAAATGCCTCTGTGGACGGTTGCATATATACGAGTCAACCAAGATAATGAAAAAATGCTAGGCCAAAGTCAAGCTCGTGAAAAACAAAGCTCATTTCAAGCTGTCCTTTGGGTGATCAACAGCTTGTCTGGGGAGGTTGGGGGACCCTTACACAGAGGACTCCTAGAACAAGCACCAGCTAGCATAGCAGACGCTGCAATCGCATTGTGAGAATAGAGGAAAAAGCAAAGTTTACGTCTAGGGCAATGTGACACAGGAAGTTACAAGTAGAACAGCACAACTCAGAAATCCTGCTGGCTGATTGGTATTAAATGCATGGACTTTCCCAGTCCTTCCAATGTACACTACTGTTAATTTTGGGGTGCAGTTCCACTGCATTCCAGCACACTGGCCCCTGGTGATTGCTACTAAAATACCATTCCAAACCTAGCAAGAAAATTGAACTAAGACCCAGCCTGGCACATCTAAATAATTGCATGCCACCAGAAGGACATGAGTTGCCTGCAGATCTCAGTCCCTTGTCAAATTTTTTGCCTCAAAGTAATGAGCTGCCCTAAAGGAAGAACCAGGGCTGATAAGAAAGCAGATATTTAGGTCAACATTCAAAGCTATAGAAGCAGTACAGCCCAACTCCTGGCCTCCAAAATGAGATCTATATGCACAGGCAGCTTGTCAGCAGTCAATACTACATTCATTCATCTTATTCAGATGTTGAAATTGCTGTCAAAGTGGACTTTGCTGCAGATCCTATACAGTTATGCAAGGGCAATAACACAAAAGCTGGAAAAGCTTTCCATTTTCACTCTAAACTGCAAGCACAGACTTCCACTCACTCACTTCACTCACCTGGCAGGGGTACAATCAGAACCACTGGTTCTTTCATAATCAGAAAATAAAAGGAAATAAAAGAAAAAAAAAGAAAAACAAAGGCACTGCTGCAAAAGCCAAGATCCCTCACTCTTGTTTCTTTCAGCCAATGCTCCTGTAGAGTGGCATGTCTGACAACACCACAGCATCACCCACCAGTCTCAGCTGCTAGCCAGAGGTCCACTGCAATGACTGCCCAGAAACCTTTAATAAAGTCTCAGCTACAGAGAACTCCCAGTGTAAGAACAAAATAAGCAGCCATCTGCCTCAGTCATTTCCTTCCAGCAGACCAATTAAAGTCTTACTTTCTCTTGGTCTTTTTATTCTGCAAGGTAATTTTGTCACTGGACAGCTCGTTGATTTCATTACTCATTACTGAATTAAGCACACTGCCACCTAAATGTTCCCATTAGGGGAGACTGCTTTTGCCAGCAGCGAGAAAACACATTCAAGGCTTTGTTAAGCACGATACCATAAGCACTCAGAACAGCAGATAGAGTAACTTATTAAAGCAATTACTTTCATGCCAAGTATTTGAACTAACTCATGTACTTGTAGAAACTGGTTTAATTAGACTAACAGCGAAACACACAGACACAAATATTTACAAACCGTGGATAAACAAAATGATGCATCACAGGGTATTTAAAGCAGCAATATCATGAAAGTCATATGTAAAACAGGAAAAAGTAGTAAAAAAACCTCACTCAAAGATACTGTCAGATAGCCTGAGTTAATCTACATTTACTTCACTTACGTTTTCTGTAGTTCCAGTAATTACATGTAATCCATCATAAGTTGATTTGATGTACATTCCCTAAATGTAAGTAGAAAATGAAAAATAAGTTTAAGGGCAAACAACCAACATTAACTTATCTGATTAAACAACTGTTGGCAATAGACTCAAAACATTATTAAGATGACAATTCACATATTTTCCCTAGAAAAGTGTGTGGTCTAATATTACAACATTCTAAACCTCTTCACAGATCACTTTTACCGTAATTAATTATAATAGAATAGAGTGACTTCAAACACCTAATGTGTAGAAGGCAACATGGAAACATCATCTGGTTCATAATACCAAACACTGTTGGGTTTGCTGCCTTGTCTGCCTTTTGCCTTGAAAAAACTTTATTTCCTTATTGCCCAAACTGCACTAGAGAATTACAGGTTTTCCTAGATGGCCACTAGCTCTCTCTATATGAGGCACACTTACACAGCTGGCCTACAAATATTGCCTACATGTTCTTTTACAATTTCCCTTGGCAAGTCAATATACAGACGGCCTTGTCACCACAGCACTGATATCAGCAAGAAGAGCTCCGGCAGAACTAAGTGTCTGTGGCTCTAAATGTTAAAGCTGAGTGTGAAAGCAAGGACAAATTCAGATGAAGTGGGTGTTGAGCTTATGAACACCAAATGAAAAAAAATTCACCAACAGGCTATTACTAATTATCTAGCTTTCCCTGCAAGAGGTGACCAGTACATTCATGAACAAGTAAGTTTCTACTTCTGTCTACGTGTGTTGTTAGAAGCACTCACTGAGCTGTACAGAACTGGATGTTATTCAGGAGTTGTAGGCAGCTTATCTGCCTGAAGTTACCACACTTTTGCTTAGAAGGAAAAATACAAGATGGTTTGCGGTTTTTGCCCCTTCCTCTCCAGACAATTCCCTTCCATGTTTGCAAGTTAGTATCCCATTGTGCGCACCTACCTCCTCAATTCTTAGTCCAAGATAGGATGACTCTGCTTCACTGTAGTTTGTGCATTAACAAAGAGGTCCCTATAATTTCAAGAATGCATGACTGATATAGTCTAATTCAGTGGCCTAGGTAAAACTGTATAGCAGAGTAACACTGTAAAGCTTCCTATAAAAGCGTTCATCTCTTCTGCCTTCGGGGCTGGGGTGGAGGGAATACAAATGTACTTAAGAATTTAAATTCCCTCCAACTCATTCTAACATGTCTGTTCCCCAGCCAGAAAATTCACCAAGATTTCAAAGTCAGTTTCTCATACCCAGCACTCAGCTAAGCAACATCCATTGACTGATCAAGATTCAGTAATGTTACACAGCCACTGAACTTTTAAAAGGATTTCTCATGCTCCTGCTAGCCTGAAAAATCCTCATATCATTCTCAATCTTGCAATAAACAAACATAAACTGTGCCTATAAAAGCATAAACGTAATGTCTCATCACCTTCTCCATCCTCCAACCCTGCTATAAAAACAGCTGGTAAGGCAATCTGCAAAAATAAAACTACTAATTTCTCAAGCACCAGTAAATTCCCCAGTATCCTGGTGAAGGTACAAATCTGAAGCAATTTAGCATGAAAAAATACTTGGCATGAAACTTATTAATGGGTATACCCATCTCTGGCAGCCACTAGAGCACACTACCTGACAATTAACCTTCAGAGTTCCTCACCATGTCTCTTTCTGTTTCCCATAGGATATTACTGTTTTGAAATATCTTGCTATACACCCATACACAGTGATCATAAGAATACCTATTAAGCACCGGGATCATCAGGACATTCCAGGATTGGTTCTTACCAGGCCTTCCCCAGGTTTAATATTAGTTAAATGAACCTCCTCAAGACACGCACACTGGCTCATCAATGGATCTGTAGTTGATCGGATAGCTTTATCACAAATGCCGTTTAAAGTCTTGGCCTACAATGAGGACATACAGAAACAGTTACAAAATTTCTCTCCTGGCTTCTTCCTCTTTCAGTTTTCAAAAAGAGAAAGGAAATGAGTTCTGGAACTTGGTCGACTAATAAGTCATAGCTAAGAATCATCCAAATAGAAAATTCATTTGTACAGATATATTTTACAGCATGTTTATCTTTTTACTGTAACATAGTACAACCAAACCATTTCCACTGGTGCCACCTCATCACTGCTAACAGATGCCAACACATCTTCAGTTTAAAAAAAAAAAAAAAAAGAAAAGAAAATATACAAACAATAGCAAAAAATTGCATTTGGAGTTTGCTTGCTTTAACCAAAATATAACCCATTAAAATGCTGAAACATTTTAATGAATCTTTGTGGGAACAATTTACAGGTTTTCATTCTGTTGTTTGTTTCTGCTATGAGAATAAAATTGGCCATGTGTCAGAAAAAGTGAGGTACTGGCCACCAACTTAAATGCACAAAGTTTTACAGTACAAGGCAGGACATCCAGCACTTAAGCCTTTCAGCATTACTTCTCTCCACCATGCCTCTGAACTGACCTCTTGTGGAATGCTTACGCAGGCAAGGTTCATATTTCCTTTTGACCAAAACATAACTGAACCTGAGCCAACATTGTAATGAAAGGCAAATTCTGACCTTGTATGTGTGTCAGTAAAGTCAGAGGCAGAACAGCTTTGTCTTGTACAACTTGTAACTAGCAGAATGGCTAATTAATTAAAAAAAAATCATAGCCCAAAAATCTGGGTTTTCCCTACACTCCGAAATTTCCTTAATGCCCCACAGTGTTGTCTGGGTTAACTGAAACAATTTTGAAACTTAAAGTAGGTTACAACAGCTTAAAGGAGAGGGGAAAGAGTATTAGCACACAGTACAACAGTTAGTTATACACAATTTGGAAACCAGCAGGGTAAGCCATCTTTCACAGGGGCTTTGAATCCTCCAGAGTAGACATATAACTACAGGACAGGGGGAGCTGCCTCGCAGGAAGACATTGGTTTGGATTACAATGGCCCCTGGAAACAATAGTTCCAACGTTTTTTCTTTTGTTTTACATCAGATTTATAGAGCAGCAATAAAATAAATCAAAACAATGCCGAAGTGTGAATGCGAGGAACTGCTCAAACAAGGGAACTTCAAACAACAATACCTACTTCCAGAGTGGGTGTGCACAAATGGAAAAAGAAAGATGCAAAAAAACTCTTTTACGTGGTTTCATTATTTATGGACATAATTATTTTTAGTTATTGTGCTACTAAATTCCTAAGCATCTATGAGCTAGCGGAAGGCCTTATCAAAGAGCACAGCCTGGTTCATGTCAAAAGCAGGAAGCGATGATTAACTGTTACAAAATATAAAAAGCATTCCATTACGCTCCTCCTTTGGTCACAAGGCTGTTTCAAACAACCCTGAAAACTCTAACTCAAGCACAGTCAGAGACACAACCTTAGTTCTGTGGCAGGGCACTTATTTTTGTGAAGAAGTTTAATAAGCCGTAGTGCATTTAGGGCTTTCATAAGCAGACACATCACAGGCATACTTGGTTTGTTTGGGCCACTATTATTTTATAGTACTACCCCTCACAAGAAAATCTGAAGTCTAAATTATCTTAAAACATATAGATTTATATTAAAATAGCTCTGCAATGAAACTTTAATGAATACTTTACTCTGTGCTATTACATACACTACCAGTCTGTTCAAACTTCATTAGTCTCCTCTAGAGCAAAGAATATTCACAAAATGGCCCATAACAATGTTTACTTCCATGATACATCTCTATGTGTGGGATTGGAAAGCTATTGTCAGTACAGAGCAGAAGCCACCAAAATGTGAACGCAGGCAGCTGAGTTTCAACAGAAACATGTACTTACTACAGTCTGAACTTTATCTTCCATGTCAGCCACAGTGCAGTCCTAAAAACAAAACAAGAACAAAAGGCCTACATTAACCAATAATCACGTAAACACATAATTTCTGGAAACTCTGCAAAACCGCCACTTTAACCTCTACCTGAAATAGAGTTATTCATGCTGCAAGGGATTAATCAGATTAATTTCACCCAGTAGGGCTCAAATGTACTGTTAAACAACTATTTTCTGGCCCTGGCAGAAAGCAATAATAAACCTTGAAAGCTAAGAGAACATGGGATTCAATTACAGCCAACAGACTTTTCCAGAAAAACAGAACCCTGCACAATAAAACTAGACTCTCAGGAGGCCGGGCACATGAGCTTGCCTAACTCTGATAAACACCAATTTAAGAGCTGCTGTGTCCCAGGCACCAAAACAGATCTAAAACATCTATTTTGTTAAAAATAGAAAAGTGATTTTTTAAAATATGCTATTGATGACATTCCTGAGAGCCAGAGGACTGCACAGAAAGCATTATTTACTCAGCACAGGTACTAGTCTTTGAAGTGAAACAACTTCATGTAGCAAGCTACAGAAGTCATAATTTTCTGCAGGAAGAGCTAGAGAATGTTAACAGATTCTCAGATTCATAAGTTAAAACAGCAAATAAATAATGAAACAAGCTCTACAGTAGCTCTAAGGAGAAAACCCCCAAACTCCAAGCATTTAAAGAAGCTTAAAATCCAAGATACTTGCCCTTGATATCTGTACTTTGGCTTGCATGGCAAGGTTTCGGTAGCAGGGGAGCTACAGGGTGGCTTCTGTGTGAAGCTACTAGAAGCCTGCCCTGTCTGATGGAGCCTAAATCACCTAAAGATTTTTCAGCTGTCTCTCCCTTTTCCACACCAGTGCATTCCTTCAGACCATTTTGAATGTATCTGCAGTGTCCCAGTACAAAATTGCATTGATTCTTCTCCCATTAATGTTTTTTCTCATATGCACCAATCCTGTACTTTACTATAGCTCATACCAAGTTGGCAGAGAAGTACTCTGACAGTTTTTCAAAGGCTAGGGTTGTATTTGCCAACTTCCATTCCCCTGCCATCAAAGGCTGATTTAACTGAAAGATTAGACACCTTTTTTAGTAATTTTATTAATACAGTTCAGCAATCTCCTATCTCACTTCCTGTAGCACTCTTGGGTGAACACCATCTGCTACTAGAAACACTTACTGCCGTACTTCACAATCTGCAAATCTGTAGCTGTAAATCACTGACTTTCTGCAAATGCACATGCAACACCTAAACAAGAAGGGCATTCAGCAGCAAGCCAAACTTGTGCTTCTTTGAACTTACACTGTACTATCCAGACACTGTCCTTTCACAATGATCCAACTGATAAAATTGGGTGTTATCATGGCTTGACAACTCACAGGATGTTTTTATCCTTTAACATCATCCCCTCAAAACTGGGAGAGAATCATCCATGTCACAGGACATGGTCCTTTGGAGTTCAAACAATATATAGCCACTAATGTACTATGACAAGTAGCACATTAGACTAATGACTACGAGAAAGTTGGGCTGGAGGTGAAGTGTGTACACAGTGCTTCACAGCCAAAGCAGAGGATTGCTGTCAGAACACTTTCAAAACCAAAATTACATAATTTGCCAAGATTGCCACAGTTGCTGTATGTCCTTTTAGCTGTTATCAATATAAGCACTCTTCACAGAGCTGATAAATGGAGTTTTGAAACAAAACTGTGGTCTTGCCCTAATGGTAGAAGAAGCCAGGCTAGCGGGGTTTGTATTGCAAAGGTGACAGCTCCTTCCATTACATGCACCATTTTCCGTTTGATGGATAAAACACTCTGTATAGGACAACACCTAGGGAGTCTGTTTTTCAACATGTTCAGAACTTGAAAATCTTTAAATGTAGATGAACTGTTTTGAAAACTAAACCTCTTCCCATTAAAGCTCAAGAAAGTGAGTAGCCTTTAAACCACAGTCACTTAAGACACAGCCAGCAATAGCAAAATTGGAAATTGAGTTGGGGGACAGCACACAACTTAAACTGATCTTCATGGATCTTTCAAGTAAGCTGTCCTTTCCAGATCTGCCTTCCAATTAGCACTCTGCACACAGTGAGAACATTACTTCCCTAAACACCCCCCTTCCTTCCCTTTTGGAAAGCAAAGTGGAAAAGAAGCCAGCTGACCTTCTGAACAGTAGTAGTGAGATCCAAGCAGAGCTGAATGATTCTGTTCTTCATTGATGAAAAGTCAGCAATACCCGTAAATGGGGTCCTGCAAGAGAAAATTCCCTTTAGATAAAAGGGACCTGTCTTCTCCCACCGTACCTTACCAGTGAGGAACAGCAAATGAGAGCAAACGTTACAGTTCTGACATCCATGCAAGTCTGAGGATACAGTTTTATAACATAAGTATTCCTGCATATTCCTGACTGCATAGTCCTGCTCCGTCCTTGCACCAAAATTGGTGAATGTCTGTAATGAGCAAGTTCAGAAAGCAAAACCAGAAGAAAAGGTCCATTTTCCAGACTACAGCTATCTCAGCTGCACACTCATGTCAGATCACACTGATTGTTGTAGAAATCACACTCGTGGGCCTGACAGTGAGTAGACTTCTAACTCCCACATCTGTGATTACTAAACTCAAGGCAGGGGGAGGATTTTCATATTGAGCCTCACTGCACCTCTGTGTGGAAATCTTGGAAAAGGATCATTATAGGCAGGGCAGCTTTAGAGCCTATAGAATCTCACCTCAGACCTTCCAGACAGCTGAAAGAGCTAGAAGGGGGGTTGAGAAGCAACCCCAAACATCTTGCTGACTGAGATGTGGAAGAAATTTAGGGCAAGCTACCAGCGACAGGGTGAGAGGAGAGGACCGAGTGAGAAGCACGCTGTTAACATCACTGCCTGGACACAGAACCAACTGCTAGGTGAAGGGCAGGGATACTGAAGGATAGAAGGGCTCCTTGCTGCTGGTCCCCATGCAGCTTTCCTCCTTCCTTCCTTCTTCTTGGGAAAGCTGGCAATGGTCTTGAGAATTTACATTCATCTGATATCATGGACAGCATCCCTGCCAGCAAGCAATGGCTCTAGTGCCTGTTTGCTTCCTCTGCAGCTGTCACAGAACAACTCTGGCTCTTGTCAGGGAAAACAAACCCCACACAAACACCGAATTGAACAAAGAAATAATTAAACAAAACACACATCCATCCCAATTCCTGTCCTACCCCCCCCAAAAAAAATATGGCAGAGGGCATCTGTCAAATCACAGAGATAAGGCCACAACTTGAACAGAATGCTAACAATTTTTTTACAAAAGAACCTGGCAATGACAAGTAATTTAGAAGGTAGTACTGGGGCAGGGTAAATCACATGTATGAAAAACTGACCTGAACAGGAAGGCTCCTTTTATGAATACCGGTTTGGGTACAATGTTACCAGTTTCATTGGTTTTAGTAAGACTAGAAGCACAAAAGTAGATACCCTAAATTAAATTTGTCCACTAGAGCCCTTCTGGCAACACCAAAGAAGGGGTGAGATCATAGAGTCACTGACTGGTTTGGGCTGGAAGGGACCTTAAACATCATCTAGTTCCAACCCCCCTGCCATGGACAGGGGCACCTTCCACTAGACCAGGTTGCTCAAAGCCGCATCCAACCTGGCCTTGAACACTTCCAGAGTTGAAACAGCCACAGCTTCTCTGGGCAGCATCTTTCAGTGTCTCACCACAACAGAAAGTCTGGAGTAGAAACATAAAGATGTCACCTCTAGCTCTCTCTATATAATATAACAGCATAACTGCATAAAGATCTTTATACCCAAGCATCCAGAAACTGCCCTACAAAAGGAGAAGCAAGTCATTATGTCAGTAAAAATATAAAGATTCTATTCTTACCTGTCCAACCATGTAAGCAAGGCTTTGGCAGCACCAATAAGCTCTACCACAGAAGTAAGGAATTCATTGGGGGGCTTGCGAGAGGTGTTTCCATCATAATTTGAGCTTTTCCTACGGCTGCTGATGTAATTTTGCAGATTGTTGGATGATGCTCGCAGTTTGAGAACCAGGTTCTTCATATTGTCTGTTTCAAGGCCATAGTTCTGCAAGGAATATTATTAAGCTTGATAAATCTCCTTATTGAGTCCTCCTGTTTATTATACTGCAAGTTACAAACTTATATGGGATGAAAGTTCCAAGGATGGGGGATCTTTTCTTTTTTCCTCAAAAATGCCTTCTAAGACTTCTACATGACAGCCGCTTCAGAATAGTTTTGCACATGCCAACCCCCTCAGGTTCTGCCATTAATGAGATTTGAGAACACTTTTCAATCAGAATGAAGTTGCAGTGTTCTACCAGATGGCATTTACCTTTCAAAATGTGGCTGGAATAACATGATTGTGTTGCTTCTCTTTTTGCTAAAGGAAAGCAAATGCTGTTTTTTCTTAAAATATTTTCTATACTGTGGTACATAAACACTGCAATAACATTTCATTCACAACTAAATATAAACTTAATCTGGCAAGAGATAAAAACATCAACAGGAAGCAAACGTAATTTCACAGTCACAAGCTTGAATAAATATTTCGATCACAAGTTTTCAGTAACTGTGCTCCTTGATTATAGCAGTGCAATGAGTGGCAAGTTTGAGGACTGTGTTAACACTATATATAGTAATTAAAACCATCCTTCGATGTTGTATTTTTCATTCAACAGCATCTTTATAAATATTTGAAACCTAAAAAATCTGTAAGTACTGCCTGCAACTTCAACTTTGCAAATTCAAATACCACCAAACCACAACCCCCAAGATTAAAACCCAATTGGTTTTATTGTAACGCATTGATCACCTCATGCTAGGCATGTCAGAAATGCTATATCTGTTCTGAAGACAACTCAGTTTTGTAATCAAGATTATCTTTGTGCTGTCAGCTTGCAAATGTGTGAATTAAGCAGCAACACGTTGCTATGTTCATTTTTGAGTTATTCCACCTTGCAAAACCTCTGTGGACATCTTATTAAAGTCTCAGAAAATGCTTAGCTCTAAGGCTGAAAATGACTATCCAAAAATACAAGACAACCATGCCTTTCTCCATTCTCTCGCTGCTACAGACTCTTACTACCAACCTCAAAGTTCAGTAACTTAGTCAGCTACATTATACTCTTCCTCCTTTCCTTCTCAAAAAACTAAAGCAACTAAAGCAAATCTTAATTCCATTCAATTCTAAGTTTCCAGGGGTTTCTGAGCCTCCACTCACAATCACAGCATCACCCGGCTGAATGGGAGCTCAGGAGGTTCCACAGTCCAACCTCCTGCTCCCAACAGGCTCAGCTGTGAGCTCAAACCAGCTTGTTCCAGTCGGGTCTTGAAAACCTCCAAGGACTGAGACTGCAGAACCCTTCTGGGCAACCTGATCCATCATCTGACTGTACCTAGAGTGAAAAAGGGTTTCCTTACATCCAGCCTGAATCTCTGATTTCAACTTCTGCCCAAAGTCCCTCCCTCATCCTCTTGCCATGCAACACCATGAACAGCCCAGCTCTGTCATCCTGTCAGCTGTGTTCCCCACCGCAGTACACGATGGGTATTTGCTGTTAAGACCTCCCTGAAACCTTCTCTTCCACATGCTATAGAAGTTCTGGGCCCTCAACCTCTCCTCATGGGTGAGTAACCCAAGCCCTGGCCAACCTGGTAGCCCTCCACTGAGACTGCACTAGTCTGTCTACCTCTTCCCTGTACTTTGGAGAAGGGTCATACATAGACTAATGAGTGCCAAGTAAAGGGTGATGATCACTTCCCTCCCTCTTCCATTAACGCAACCCAAGATGCTGCTGGCCGCCTTGCTGCCAGGGCACACTGCTGTCTTGTGGCTCCATTCCCTCCAGTCAAGCACCCATAAAACAGGCTCTTAGACTAAGACACTTACAAAAGACAAAACAGAGCCCTCACCCTAAAGAAACCCACCAGTGTAAGGAGAGGTTTCAGCTATTCTACTACCTGCAAAAAAAACCCACCAGCTCCTATGAATAAAATCCCAGGGGCTGTAAGTTACACAAATGCCTGCCCTCCTGCCCCTGAGCCAGGAACAGCGGTTGAGAGGATATATCTAATTAAAAAAAATGCCACTGCTGCAACAGCAGAGGATATCCTTAAATTTTCCAGGATCACAGAGAGGGAAAGATTTGGATTACTAAACAATGTCAAAGTACTTGCATACTGCCATGTGTGACCTTATCACCTTTTAATTAAAACAAAGAAAAAGAAAAAAAAAACCCACCACACACACACAAGACCATCATTCAGATGTATCTCTTACAGTTACTTTTCTCCTCCTCACAGGAGGCTGCATATTAATCTATTTTCTGAGGAATACTTTTTCACCAACAGGACTGGATGTGGGGTAAGTTCCTGTGACCACAAAACTGAAAGTAGCCATATGCCAGAAATCTCACCCTTTAGCAAGTGAATTAGAGGATGCTGATCCCCCTTCCTTCCATAAAGGGACAGGATATACAACAGATTCTGTTTTCTGTACAGTGGTATTGCCACCTAATGACTCCCATCAGTACTTGAGAGACTTTCAATATATTTAAGTATCTCCTGTCTTTCTTTCTGTCATTCAGATGCAGAAGTTGTGCCCAGCACCTGTGGGTGCCTGCAATTAGAGATGGCCCCAGCATTTAAATGGACATATGTTAACACACCACATCAGATTTTGGCTTTGGCTCTAAACCATTCACATTCTCCTTACCATAACACTTTCACCTTATTTATACAGCAGGTCAAAACAGTGTGACTTTTCCAGTTCAGCTAGTTTTTTAATAATTCTAGCAAGTAGCTCTGTTTCGAGGTGAACTTCAGCAACACAGATGTTGCCTCTGGAGATACATGGGCTCCAGCTTCAGACTGCAACCGGCCTCCCCAACAGCCTCTCAGGAGCACACCACAGGCAAGCTCTCCAGTCACTGCACTAAGCTTTTCTACAGCTTCCCCCAAAGACTTTGCAGAGTGCACCAGACATATCTAAAAAAACTGGCAGTCTGTACTCTAGGAAAAGTCCTGGCTAAGCACTATGCCTATCCAGCACAACAGGGAGCACACAGCTCTTCAGTGCAGATGACTGAGTTCTTCAACTACAAGATCAGCCCTGAGGAACGAACTTCCCCAGAACAAAGGGTCATCACAACCTGAAACACCTCACTTCCAGAGGCAAGCCAATCTTCTAACCTGTTTGAAGTAATACACAGAAAGCATTATGCCTCTTCACCAGATACAGCAATATTTCCATGCAAATTGACACTATCTGAAGCATCTCACACTTAACTACTTATTCCTGCTGTTATTCTGCTCCTTCCCTTGCAGTTTCCAGTCTGTTGGGAGGGCTGGTTTAGGGAACTAAACCATTCAAAAACATCTATTCCCTTTTTTTACTGTATTGTGAACTCACCTGGTTTAGGTCCCTGAAATAGCTCACTTCAGGGTCAGGTAGGTGCAAGCACAAAAGATCACTAATAGAAGGCAGCAGCTGACTTGGATTAGTTTGACTTGTCATGGAGCAGTAGCCCCAATTCAGGACAGATAGGAATGCTGATAGCACAGCAGCATACTAAGCAGCCTTCTCAGTAGCACACAGCTGAAGTGCAGAACTTAGCAGGCTTTTTTAAAATACTTCTACAGGACTGAGGCTACAATATTTAAGAGATTATTTAAGCAACCAAAAGGTTTTAGATGTTGCTCCTGAACTGAAGAACACATTACGTTTTCATATCGCTCCTGATTTCAAACATCAAAGTTGCTTTCATCAAAATACAGGCTGAAGCCAGCGGTCAAGAGCACCTTATGTCAAACATTCCCAGCTTGTTACTCATTAACCTGCGAAGCCACATGTGGGGCTGGGAGAGAGAGACAGCATGCACACATGTATAAGGGAGCACAGGCACACAGGAGCATGCTCTTTCTGAACGCCATTCCATTCAATGGGAAAAAGCACTGACCAAATAATTGCTTAAGGTCAGGCAGCCAACATTTTAAATAAATAAATACATAGCGTGGCTAACTGAAGTCAAAAGAGCACAGCAGTTGTGACAGGCTCTACTACTGCCCAGGGGCAACATCCCCTTCGCCCTTCACAGCCATGTGCATGGGCCGCAGTGCAGTGAGCTGGATCTGCTGGCTGACCCACCTGAAAACCAGCGCTGGGGGAAGGAAAAAAGAAGAACAGACTGAATGCCTGCTCAAAAGCTGATCTGTCTCATTGCATGCCTTTATAATAAACACTAGAGTTAACACAAGGCACTGTCACAGTCACCCAATTCTTGCTCTCTCCATTTTAACAAAAATGCATTCTAAAGAATCCTTTGGAGTCCCAAACTGCCTAATAAACATCACTAAGTTTAAAGCTGAGACCTCTAGAAAACTGAAATATTATGAGGTGGTGCAGAGATGTGGCGCTTTTGACAATGATTAGCCACTAATAAGTCTGCATGCATGCATGTTCTATTTTATGTTTTGAAGACTTTTTTGTTGTTGTTCATTCAGCATATTTGCAGCGCACTATTGCCAGTGAAATTGTCAAGGGTACAACACTAAAAACTATGGTGTTTTGGTTGGGGGGGTGGGGTGGCATTGGTTTGGGGCTTGTTGTTGTTTTGTTCTTGGGCTTGGTTGTTTTTTTCTTTGGTTTTTGTTTGGTTTTGTTTATAAGACTGCTTAAAACTAGTATATCTTCATTCTAACCTCAAGAAAAATCAGCTGCTTTTATGCTTCCAAACTCTCCCATCATACAGTGTTGATAAAGATTCAGAACTCTAATCCAAACAACACATTAAAAGGGAAAATATTTGCATACAGTTTCCTGTTAATGCTTGCATTGTTTTATATTTATTAAGCCCAAACAGGCAAGACTACTCATCAGGCAATAATAAGCATTCAGTTTTCACCACCACTCTAGATGCTTCTTGTCCCAGTTTTTGGCTGAGAAAGCATATTTTCTGGATCCCTGCTGCTGCTTTTGTGGTTTTGCATGAGTTTAATAAGCATATTTACGAATGTTTGTTTCCCCTTCCCCAAATACTTTAGTCAACTAAGAAATTTCTTCCTCCCACCCTTTTTCTCCCCCAAACAAATATTGTCAATAAAAAGATGGAGGTCCTCAAAAGTTGATGTTTCTTTTGACCCTCTGAGGAATTCAATTTCTTTGATGCATCCTCTAAATTCCTTAAATAAACCTTCAACACCTGTTCAGAACCAGCTCAAGACTGACAGACATGTGCCCTCACATGCAGCCTTCACTTTTTATCCCTGTCCACGCACTATCCCACTGCCTCTTCAGCTGCAGCTTTGTTGTACATGCAGCCACTGCTATGAGGAGATGAGGGAACACTACCTCATCAGCCAAAGCAGCAAAGAAAAAAGCATTAACTTCTCTTTCAGCTATCCTGGTTCTAGAGCTTACTTACTAGAGCACCAGACACCATAACTGCAGACATATTTTCAGCTTGGCAGAGTAACTGCCAAAAAATAATAAAAATAATAATTAAAAAAAATGAGTATTTGGTGGTTTTTCCCCAGGAAAGGAGAACCTTCACGCTGTGTTTTTACAGCTGATCTACTGAGGCTGGGAAAAAGGTCTGTATGGTCAATGCTCAAAAAGAGTTACTGCAGGGGAAAGGTGTTCCAAGACTGCTGCTTCACTGCATTTCGAGCTGTAACCGTTCTTGTTGTGTAAGGGAACCAAAGCACCGAGCTGAAGGAAGTTCAGCTGGGAAACTGCCAAGGCAAAACTAGATAAAAAGGGAAATTCTTCTTAAGGACTCCATGACTGGAAAACCAGAAAAATAAATCCCCAGAATAGTTCCTTTGCTTTCAAGGCTCCAAAATTTAGGCAAATGTTTCCATATACACATGCACACATAAAAATAACCCCACTAAATTATGTCAATACACACACCCACTTTCAAAGAACTAACACAGACGGAACAGGAAAGCCTTTGCTCCCTCACACAGAGGCAGCAAACTAAGAAATTGGCTGTCATTAGACCTTAAAACACACCATCCCCTCAGGAACAATATCAGTGGTGATTTTATATAACAATCCCAAAAACTCAAGGGAAGGGGCATCAAGAAGATGAAAAAGGGCGTGCCTAACACACAGGAATTCTTCCTCCACCTCTTAATAGGGAACAAGGACATTGCAGCTGCAATACATGAATTCTGTCTAATACATTAACTTGAGTTGCATTTCACAAAGGATCTCCAGAAATGAGTCTGAGGTCAGAACTTTTGTCTACAAAGGAAATTAGAAGGAAATTGTAGAAGATAAAACACAGCTTTAGGTTCTGGCATTCATCCAGCTTTGTTCATTTTATGCTAATATTTTTAAAAGTCAGAGAAAAAAGTGCCTTTGGGGGCTGCCACATCCATTACTTGAGTCAGGACTGTAGACAGCACAGTACAGATCCCCTCAACTGCCTGACAGGTGATTATTCCTTCCCACAACATGAACTGCATTTCAGGCTAACTCCATTCTTCTGTTAGATTTTTCAAATTAAACATTAAAATTTTTTAATATATTAAATACTGAAAGGGAATACAATGTTTTTCAAATATAAGAGAACCTCCTTGGGAAACATTTCAGATTGTATGAAGCGATTTCCTTAAATACGCTCCTTTCAGGCTTTCCAATTTTTTTCCTGGTTATAGAGTATAAATGATCCCTGTAGCAGCACCTCTGCTGCAAATAAAGCACATATTACAAAGGCAATAAAGACTCTCCATTTTAAGAAGAGTATGCTGAGGCACTGCAGGTCTTGCCTAATGAAGGACAGGCAGGCCAGTGCTGGCCAAGGAATCATCAGGCAGCCTTTCCTACCCTTCTTGCTGATGTAATCATGTATACCTCTGGCTCTCATTCGCTGTGTTACATCAAACACATCTTCAAGACTGTCTCCAAACTACAGCTTTTAAATAAAGCCTGAACTAGCAAAACAATCTGAAATGTATTTGTTCTTTCCAGAGTGTTTGTTTAAAAAGTACCTGTGCAGTTATATATCAGGAGTAAGACAGAGGAACAGTTTAACTTCTGAATCCAATGGGAGTTGAACTCATTACAACTGTAACTGAGTTAGTAAAACATCCCTCATCTCACAAACATTTTCTTTGCTTTGTAGGTACATTACAGAATTGTCCTAAATTCATTTCAACTGATACAAGAAATCATTAACAGCTGTCATTTCAACAGTATATACTCCCTTTTCTTTGACAAATTCACTCTACTCAAGAGAAATTTTAATCACTATGTTCACTAACAGAAGCCAGATCTAACAATGCTACTCAGATAACTTCTCTTTAGAAGAGCAACCAAATTAATTAGCGTTGCCTCTTATGAGGAAAAAGTTAAAGAGCTATTAATATAAAGCTTGTGTGAATTAAACAAATTCTTAATGTTTTCTTTTACCGTGATGTGTAACAGAAAGCAAAAGACAAGTATTCCAGTTTTATCAGACTTGCCTTTCTTATTCACCCAAAAGAGCTCTTTAAGGAATTCTTTGCATATCTGTTCACCACTTAACTAACCAGTGCACACAGGAGATCCACAGCCTCTAGAACCAGTTCCTGGTGTCCAATTCGTGAGATGCCCAAGTCTTCAAGGTCCTGGTGAGAAATCTGTAACAGCTGTTCACCATTTATCTTCTCCCGTTCAAATTTATGGACATACTGCTGCAGGCAATCATCCAGGCCTACCAAAACACAAAAGAGAGAAGAAGATGTGATTACAGATTTGTCTTTTTTTCTAATTGTGGGAGAGGGGGAACGAAACAACACCAAATCGCAACCCCACAAAAACAAAAAACAAATCCTGCAAAAGGCACAGATTGCACATCCATATAATATGTGATGTCAAATGATGGAATAAACTTGCAGTGCAACTGAAGTTGTACCACAGGGGCAGAAAAAAAACAACCAAAGGAGTCAGGTTATGTGGATCTTTGGGTCACTAAAGTCGATGCACAACCTGCCTGCTCCTTCTGGATCAATGTTATCAGGTAAGAATGTCCTTTTGGTTTCTGCATAGAGTAACCCAAAACCCTGAAGGGCAAGCAAAGCAGCAACAGCGAAAAAAATGCAATAGGGCAAGGCAAGAACAAAGATCTTGCCCAAATTCTAGTTGGACAAGTAAACAAACAAAAGCACAAAACTCCAGTTCCCCATCCACTAATACATAAAAGGGCTGAATGAATGATGAGAAGAAAATAGAACAATCAAAGCCAAAGCAATCAAAATCATGTTTGGCTCAAGTCTCATTAGTCTCATGATTTACACGAGTCTACAGCTTCCTCAATCAGCCATTCCTCCTTCCCCTCACTGAGGATTAATGGCACTCACCAATAAGAAATCCTATTCGCTTTTGCATCTATGAAGTATTTTGAAAACAGTTTAGAGTTATTTTGTCCCTGCAATATCCCTCAAATCCTCACTTTAAATTGTGATTCTGTAATCCTGTTCTCTACAGTATCCTCTCCCCAGTGATTAAAGAAAAGATTTCTGGTTTTTGTTTTATTTAACTAAGCTTCATGTGTTAATCGTGATTTTTCTGTATTCTTATTTCCTCTGGTCTTAAAGATCCTGTGAACAGCAACAATCTAGGAAAAAAACTTTGGATGGATGTGTTATTTTAAAGATGATGCAGAGTTCTTGATGCCCTGTTCCATTTCAACATATTAGCTTGAGCAAGAGGAACAGACCCAATTAGGCCTGTTTTATAGAAATACACTACGGTCACTGTAAATAGCTGACAAGCAAAAATTCAGATTACACATTCAACATCTACTTCGTAACATTCACAATAGCTACGTTTGCTTGACCATTCAGTTCTTCAAAAATTGAACCTTTAGCTGTATGAAGGATGTTTATCCATGACGCTGGCTCAAAAGGAAGCCACTGACATGGACAGGATGTTGAATTGTGCAGATGAGAAACATGAACAGCATCCTGATCTACATGGGAATTAGAGACAGAAGACCAGCACCCAATTCCACTTATGTAGCCACAGTAGCAGCTTGGAAAACAAGTACTCCCTGCACAAGCTACTGCCAAGAAAACACTCAAGACAAATCACAAGGGGTTCCAGAAGTCACATGAAATAATCTCATTTCATAAGAGCAGCACGAGCAGTCACCACTGCTCCCTGCACCCAGCAGATCTGTAGATTAAGGATTTTCAAAGCCACAGGCTCAGTTAACACACATCACTTGCCTTTTAACTCTCGCTCAGAAATTAATAAAAACAGACACCCTGGCACTTAACAGTCACCCCTTTACATGACTTGGGCAAGCATAACTATTACAGTAGATCAAAATCTGGCTGAACAAGCTTGACTTGTCCACATGCAGAGCTACTAGTGTGCACAGCTTGATTTTCAAGCATAATTATGAATGGGAAAACCCACATGCAAGATGATCAGAGTCTCCCAGGGCTACAGTTGTTTGGGGTTCACTCTTGTTTCTTCCCATCTGTCTTGGCAAGGCCACATAAATTTTGAAAATTGAGCCCAGTGTTCTCTTTCCCACAGGCACCAAGTCCCCCCTCAGGCTATACAAACTCTTTTCCCAGGAAAAATAATAAAAAGATCTGGCCTTCATTATTTAACAATTTATTTTTTCAAAACAAATTCTCAACTGGGGCTGATATACAGTGCACATATTTGGCATTCCTAATTTTTATTGCTGTCTTGCAGACCACTGTTTCCCACCATTTGCCATTGTAAGCCCATAGTTTCCATTCAGAATTACACAAACACCTAAAATAAAACACTTTATTCAGAATGCAACGAAGTCTTCTGTTTTAAGGCTTCCTGGATGCAGTGTTGCTTTTGCCTACTATCCTTTCTGTGTATTGACTCAACTTTCTAGATCCTCATTCTATGCTAAAACATGAGACTCAGAGTTATATTGCACACACACACACACACACACAGGGACAAGAAATACAAGTACTGCTTTCAGCTTGCTTTTTTTAATTCATGCTTGCCTGTTCCTTGAAAGTCTATTACAACTTGAACAGCTACCTCAAATAATTCTAATGAGACCTTAAAAACAATACTTCTGCAATCACACCATATGACTATATTTTATAAAATAAAATATCACAAAAATCACGCAAATGTTAATTCAAAACAGCCAACACAGATGCACAGCAGCTCAGCTAGAAATGTATTAAAGCAACCAAAACTATGCAAAGCAGGAAGTGAGGACAGACCCACACACTCATAGCAAGCATTCACTAACAGTTTAAGAGGAGCTTACTAACATTAGCATTATTATTTTTACAAGGAAACATACAGAAAAACCTTAAACATTTTAATTGAGATTGTAACCAAGTGTATAGTCTATTGTTTAATTTCTTCTCATATCAACAAATGGTTAAACATCACATACAAACCAGAAAATTCCTGTTTTGTCAAGAAAGAAAAAGGGAGGAAAAAAAACCCTCATAAATCAGTTCAATAAACTAAACAAAATAATATTTACATTTTTAAAGTCACTGGCCAGGTTTTTCCTTCATCAAAACATCTCAGCTCTTTCCATGTATTTTCTGTGAGCTTCAGAGCCTCATGCAGACTTGGTATTGTCCTTTAACAAAATCTGGATATTTTTGAGAAACTTAGATGAACTGAAAAGCCTACATTACTCAGAAAGACACCTTCTTACACACAGGGTCACTGTCAACAGTGTAATATTCACAGGTTCAAGCAAGAAAAAGAATTCTCGCTTTTATTTTTTTAACACCACAATTAAGACTGACATTGGAAAAGATGTCCATATTTGTCCTTTACGCACTCAGGAGCCTTTCTGAAGTCTGATCTATTAATTTTATGCTCAAAGTATGTTTAACAAGCAGTTGTCTCAACTGCATATGAGAAATATTACTTGCACATACATCAAAACCATACACAAAAGATATCATCCTTCCTACTTACATATTTTTCAAGAATGAGGGAAGATGGAAATAGCAATTTCAGAATGTTACTCAAGTTTTACAGTGATAGCAGCATTGATTTTTTGGGAAGGGAGGGAGAAAAAAAAAAGTCTAGTTAGTGTTATTCCTATCACGAAAACCCTTCTGAGGAACTGCAGTGAAACTTGAATGAAACTCCCGAATTTTGGCAGGTGTAGAGATGTGAAACAGATATTAAGAACTGTCTAGACTTCTGTGTCTAAAATAACCTTCCACGACTATGCAAGGCACCCCAGAAGACACTCAATACCTTGCATTCATGCAAAAGCACTAGGAGAGAGCTTACACCTAACAGATTTCTACTGATACCCATCTCAGTCTGTTTCCAAGATTAAGAAAGGTATTTTGAATAAGAACTGGGGAGGCAAAAAAACACTGAGGGAATTAAGGGGGAGGCTTGGGTCCAAGCCATAACTATCAGTTTACTATTCAGAGAGAACATTTTTACTGTTGAGAGATGTCAGCCATCCAGCAACGACATATCCCAAAGTACTAGAGATGTGTGTTTTATAAGCTGAGTCATTACGTAGCTCCATGCTTTTTTCTCACTTCTGTGCAGGACATTACCAGATAATTTACCTACCATAAAACAGTAAAAACAGTTAACTAATGTATTACAGCCACAGATCCAAAACCAGCTCACTTGCCATCTCTTCTTTCCTCCTACCATTCCACTCTCTCCTCTTGTGAAACCATAGTTTATACACTTCAACATGGCAAGGCAGGAAGGGGCTAGAAGCAAGGAAGAGAAAGGAGAGATAAACAGGGCAAGGAACTGAGGAAGGAACATTTAAAGGGAACTGGAAGGTGACAGGGATCATTTTCCTTTAGTTCAAGAACTTGAACAGAGTCTCAGGTTAGCTTGTGAAACACCAGAGCTGTTGTGAGGAAGCAGGAGGAGCACAAGCCACTTATACAGAAGAACTCTGCATAGAAGAACACAGAAGCACACTTGTACAGAAGTACAAGACCTCTTTCACATAGCACCACCATAGGGATCATCACTCACTGTCTCAATGAAATACAGCCTTATTTTATGAATATGTACTCATCTCTTCTCTGTTGGGTGTCTCTAATAAACTGCAAGCACCTCATGTTCCGAGATAGCACCAAGGTTCAATTACAACTCCCATCCACTCGAGGAGCTCCCCTGGACAGCTAGTTAGGTGGGACTGCTAAAGTGTTTTTGCGTCATCACATTAAGAAACACACATTCAAATGTTTCAAGAATCCGACCTTCCTACCTAAGAAAGCTGCTCTAATTATGGTGTCTCCTTCTGTGTCTATTCAGTTGCCACTTCGAGTCTCCAAAGACTCCTTGCACACACCAACTTCAATGCAGCCCCCTAAGCTTTGAAATATCTATTCGAGGAGAATCTTTGGTATACCCTATGATACATGCTATTGTACTATCATTTATATTCCACATCATTTTATAATTGTTATTGCAATAGCTTCCTCCTTTCATTTCCTCCATCTATTTCAGGACTGGAAGAAATTAAAACAAGAAAAAGCATGAGGGAATCAAGGCAGCAAATGAACACTAAAAAGGAAATGCTACTTCATAACTGGGTGAACCGGCACCTAAGAAGGCAATTTAAAGTAGGGGAAAAGGGTCTACAAGACAGCTATGAAAAGCTGAAGCATTTCCATCGGACAGATACAGGGTGAAAAGGAAGAAAATGAAAAATTCAACGAGAAAAAAAAACCAAACATGCAGTTT